ACATTTTTATTTATATTCGAACTCCAATTAGGCATTAACTTATGTGGAGCAGTGTGACCCTGTGTTTGAAAACGTACTTATCTTGGTGAACAGCTTCCTATTCATAATCCATAATTTTTAGTCAGAAGCGAAAGGTTTTGATTGAAGATGGCTTTTCAAATGCTGCCTTCCCACATTTGCATTAGAACACTTCAGGTCCTCTAAGATGCCCGACGGAAAAACTGTCTACAACAGGAAGGGCTTTTCTATTGGGGATGGAGAGTTTCACTGAAATGTGAAGGCAATGATTTTCTCAAAGAGGAATCGATACCGAAATTTGTGGTACAAAAATACTACAGTTGTTTAGTTGTGTTCTTACTTTAATAAACTATAAATTTACTTACAAAAATATGTCTTGCATAAACTGAAGTTAAAAGTATTTTATTGAAAGGTTCTTGAGAAATTGGCGTTGTCTTTTTTTGTGAAAAAATGATCAGACAATTCATAAGATGAGTACTATTTTGTTCAGACATGGTGGTCTTACAACTAAGGTAAAACACTAGGAAAAACGCTTCTCTCAGATGAATATTCAAGGTGACAACTTTGAGTCATGGAATCGAGAAAAAGGAATTGAAACGTCAATTATTACATTTAAGTGCATGATTAACTGTATCATAGGTGTAGCTCAGAAAAATTTATTTTCTGCCTTCCTGCCACCCTTATATGACTGTCCCATCTGAGTTATAATTTGTAATGCGAATGAATATTTCTAAATTTTTGCTCTAGGCAAGTACTTGCCTGCTTGTTTTTTTATTTCTTTTCTAATTCACATGATGTAGTTGAAGATTCATTTATTTTCGAACTTGAATTAGGCAACTCATGGGTGCTGGCGGTGTTAAGAGTGTCAAAGCCATTGACTCAGAGCCGTTCGTGTCCAATGAGACCCCAGCTAGAAATCCGCAGCTACGTCCAAAACCACTGCTGATCAATAATAGTAGCTATTAAATTTTCTACCGATGAGTATGCACCGAATCTATTGTGAATCTTCTTTTTCTAGGTATTAAAGTATGCAATGGAACGATTGGCATTTGTCTAGGAGATCTAACAAAACAAGCGGTAATAGATTGTTTTGAAAATACATACATTCAGGATAACTTAACATATAAGTACTCATGATACGATTGAATCCTTCATTTCCATTTTGAAAATCTGAATTATTTCAAGTACTTCAATATTTCTTCTCCTTCAAAAAAAAGTAACAGCAATATAAAAAGAAAATTCTATAAAAACAAAACTTATATTTTCAAAAGACATCTCTTCATTGGACTGAAATCTCTCATCATTCGCTCAATTATTTTTTTCTCCAATGCTTCTCATACCAATTTGTGAATAACTGTCTTGGTTGCATTGGATAGGTGGATGCAATCATCGTTGCATCAACGTCGGAGGCGCTAATGAAAAATGTCTTGCAAGAAGCTGGACCATCAGTCTCAACACAATATGATAGAGAAAGGTCTCAAAACCCACAAAAGTCCATTCCAACCAACGGTGGAAACTTAGAATGTAGACGTATTTATTTTATCCCATGTGAAACTTTGTCTAAAACTGCAGACAAATGGATATTTCGAAAATTTGTTTCTGAAGCGATCGTCATGGCAATTAATGATTCGATAAATAATATTCAATCAATTGCACTGCCAGCTATTGGCTGTGGATTATTGGGTTGTGACGTCAATTTTGTTGCTGAAACATTGATTGCGGCGGTTATCTATGAATTCAAGCATCGATCTTCGTTACAGCTGAATGTCTATTTTATCATTCAACAACATCGACAGAATGTGTTTGATGCGTTTCAAAATCAATTACAGACAATGAAAGCGAATACATCTACACCTATTCATAATTCACCTGCGAAGTTTGTAGCAAAATCTAAACCAAAAACTACACCCTACCCTCCAAATCCCAATCCATTTGAAATAAAGAAGCTTCCATTATCTCCTTCGACTAAAGAATATATTGATGCTGTTAATCGGTTTCAATCAACAATGACAGCCCAACTTTATACAGAGATTCTTCATATTGAACATATATGGAACAAACGTTGGTATGAACAATATAGGATTCATTATGGAGAGTTCCGTAAACGGTTGGGTAAAGATACAGAAACATGGTTGTTCCACGGGTGCTCTGAAATTGCGGCAAACAGTATTATAAAAGAGTGTTTCAATCGCAGTTATGCTGGTATACACGGTAGGTATGCACTTGCATTTTGAATATAGCATTGAACTCATTCCAGTGAGGTACCTTCCCATGTCACAAAAATCGGTTAATCGGCAGGGAGCCGGTAAAGCGAGAAAAACCACCGGTTTACCGCGGTAAACCGGAGAAAAGTAGCAGTTCTCTCCGGTTAACCACGGCTTTTCTATGTCAAGGAGTCGGTAACCGGATCGATAAAATCGCGGTTAACCGCCAGGTGTTATCTGGTTTTCATCACATGGATTCTTACAGGCATCTTACCATTCAGCAAGGCTACTACACTCATCGCGTAATCATTTAGTTCATCAATAGTGCATGCGTCTCCTTTCTCATTTAACTCCCTTTTGCCAGCGATCACACTAAAGTACCGATCCAGTTGACATTCATACCATATGACTCTAAACTCAAGTGTGCGATTAGTCATAATCAATTTTGACTATGAACAAAGACTAATGTGAACGAAATGTGTTGTCACTCAATCGATTATTTAGCATGCATAACGAAAATCTTTTAGAATGTATTTTCGTTCGAATAATAATCAGATCAAGAAGCTTTTGATTCATTTTCGTCGACTACTCTTGTAACAGAATGGTGATGTTTATTGCTCCATCTATCATTATAGGACGAAATAATGGATACAGGAGTGAGAGAGGTAAATGAATCAGAAAGGACTGATAAATGATATGCAAATGGAGTTATTCACATACACACGCGAAAGAGAGAAAAAAAGAGATCAACGATGTACATTTTACTATCCTTCATAGCTATACTGTTCTCTATCGTTTAGGCACGTCATATGGTAATGGAGTCTATTTTTCTTCAAAAGCTAGCTACAGCCATCGTTATGCCGATGCTAATTCCAACGGAGAACGATGTATGTTTTTGGCTCAAGTACTTGTGGGCAATACAACTACCGGAAATTCTTCGATGAAAACTTGCCCACTCGGTTTCGATACAACAACAGATGGCTCTCACATATATGTCACTTATCATGACAGCCAAGCTTTTGGAAAGTACTTAATCACGTACAAATAGACATTGAAAATACGGATTTTATCTGTTGAAAATCATTTTCAACAAAAAAATTTATTTAAATCAAGATGAAAAGTGTATTTGAAACAAATAAATAAACCTATGAAAGTATTCACTCTTCTATAGTCTTCGTAATCTTTTTGGTTTTCGAAGAAAAAGTGTTCATTACTCTGATAATATCAAATACTTTATTGAAAGGTAGAACATCGCTCATTTTTCAAAACTTAAGAAGTTCGAATTCCGAAATCGTAGCGCGATAGAAATTGTTTTGTAGTATTACTAGATCCAGAGATGGGCAAGTCAAGTCAAAAATGACTTAAGTCAAAGTCAAGTCAAGTCATTTTTGACTTGCTTGACTTGACTTGAAAAATTTTTTAATGACTTGCGACTTGACTTTGACTTGACTTGAAAGGTTTTATTAATGACTTGCGACTTGACGTGACTTGACTTTGATTTTTCATTTTTTGACTTGACTTGACTTGTGACTTGACAAAAAAATACAAGTCAAGTCAGATATTCTTTGCAACTTCAATGCATATTAGATTCTCGTCAGGTTATATTTGACCTGTGCGTATAAAATAAGGTCCTAAACAGACTAGACGAATAAACAATGAATTCTCAATTCATTGTTTATTCGTCTAGTCTGTTTGATCTCACAAAAGAAACTATCTGACATCGACACTCGCAAGTATATAAGCAATTATACGGCTGAGTGTGCATCATACGTGATCTATTGTGTTAAACTGGTTAGATCAATTACAACTTGTATTACAACTGAATTGATTTAATGTTTTTTTCAATAAATTAATACATAACTAAATTATGAAATTTAAAAAAAAATTCAAGTCAATGACTTGAGACTTGACTTGACTTGACTTGCAATGGCGTATCTCAAATTGATGACTTGACTTGACTTGACTTAAAGATATTTTTTTTTTAGCAATGACTTGACTTGACTTGACTTGACTCTCTTTGACAAATGACTTGACTTGACT